TGCCTGGGTAGGAAGCCTTGCTCGCCCCTGGTCCGTCAAACTCTGTGGTTCGGGTCCCGAGGGTGCCGAACCAGGGAGGTCCAACCTGTACATGATCAGTAATTAAACAACCTTTTAAATAGAATTGTTGGAATGATTGTAGCTTTCCTAGTTATTGTGTCTTGTGACAAACGGTTATTTGTGTGTGGAATAAAAGCACATGCACACCATTTTTATGTGCTGTCCACAATATATACATTTTATTTGTAAAGTGATATGCTATTGCAAAATCTAAACTTTGCTAGGAAAACAATTACCTCTAAATTTTAATCCCTAAGGGTATGTCTACACTGCCACCCTAGTTCGAAGTAGGGTGGCTAATGTAGGCATTCAAACTTGCAAACGAAGCCCGGGATTTAAATATCCCGGGCTTCATTTGCATGTTCCTGGGCGCCACCATTTTTAAATGCCCCGTGGTTCGAACTACCTACCCGCGGCTACACGCGGCATGAACTAGGTAGTTCGAATTAAAGCTCCTAATTCATACTACCTAGTCCGTGCCGCGTGTAGCCGCGGGTAGGTAGTTCGAACTACGGGGCATTTAAAAATGGTGGCGCCCAGGAACATGCAAATGAAGCCCGGGATATTTAAATCCCGGGCTTCATTTGCAAGTTCGAATGCCTACATTAGCCACCCTAGTTTGAACTAAGGTGGCAGTGTAGACATACCCTCAGACCTTTATACTATGGGGAGACTAAGGATACAAACTGCAGAAAATTACAGTTTTTTGTTTTACGCAGCTTTATAGAGCTGGCTTCATAATATATGATTTGATTATTAAAAGACTTTCAAAGTCAAAAGAACACTCTACTATATCTGAGGGGTATTGGTGTCCACTGAACTCTGACAAAAGATAATTTAGGTTTATATACCAAAATGGTAGTATGGCTGCAGTACCTTTTCCTATATTGTGCTGTGATCTAATTTGATACTGCATGCTGAGCAGTTTAAAATGTGTGTGTGTGGATGGAAGACCTCAAAGGAAGACCTAGGTGACCTATGAAATTACATTGCTGATTCAATAAGTGACCCTTGTCCATAAGTGCTGTTGTGGACCTAGTATCCCACCATGGTGTCGAGGGTAGCTTTTGGTAAATTGAACCACATATAGTGTTGCTGTGTACTGTTATCACTCACCACTGGGACAAAGTGTTGATTCCTATCTTAATTAGGCTCTTTCTCCTAAAAGACTACATACGTATACAATGTAAATTTTAACCATGCACTAGGGGGTCAGGAAGCAAAACACACTATCTGAATACATTTGGTGTATGTTAAGAATGTCTCTAAACAAGTGCCTGATTAATCGTAACTTTAATGTACTTCTTTTTAAAAGGCTTCTGGGATGTAATTAAAACAAATCCTAACAGGCTACATAACTTGACTTTTAAATGGTTGAATGAAAATAGGGGGAGAACATCTTAATTTTGCCTTAAACTTGTCTGTGTTGTGGGTCTTTTGCTTTGCTAGTTGCTTTTGATACTTTTAATGCAAAATACAATAGACTTCATATGGGAGTGAGGGTCCCTTCCAACTTTCTCACATTGATTCATCCAAAAACATTCTTTCGATGAATTAATGACTTGTAAACCTTCTACATACTCTCTGTAAAATTAATCTGTTGTCCAAGAAGTTTTATACAAAAAATGTGTGCTCATCTGCAGTGCTGCTTAGGATAACTTTTATGAAGACAAACTTTTTAAAAATGTGTTTAAATTTTAGGTCCAGGTTTTCTACTAAGCTTAGCTTCAGTTGGGTACTGTTGAGCAGAAGGGTTTCAGGAAGACAGTTGCAGCTTCGAGTCTCTGGCTGGTTTTATGCCAGTTACAATCCATGCTGAGTTTAGAGTACCCTCAAGGCTGTTGAGAATGCTAGTCAACAGTTATTTCCAAGGGACAGTCTTTCCATTATATATATTGCCTGAGTGCAGCATACTCCCCAAATGCCTCTATACTGGGGCTCCGTGAGGGGGAGAGGAATGGTGGGAGTTGGTTTAACTGGCTCTGTGCCTGTTTGAGAAGATATGAGCAATGCAATGGAAGTGGAGCAAGCTAAAAAATCTGGCCCTAACCCAGGGGTGGGCAGTAATTTTAGATGGAGTCCACTTCAGAAATTTTTTTAGTGACCCTGGGCCGCCCTGGAAGGCTTGGGCTAAAGGGGTGGGGCCAGGACACTTCCATGTTTCCCCGCCCACAGACCCTGATTGGCCTGGGGATGGGGGGGGGAAGTGCATGAAGTCTTTGCCGCCTCCCCCCCCCGAAAGAACCACCAGCTGTTCTGAAATGCTGGTGGTTCCCTCTAGGCACCCGTGCCCCTGGCGGCGGGAGGAGACTTCACACACTCCCCCCGCCCCTAGGTCAATCAGGGCCTGGTGGTGGGGGGAACAGGCAAAGTCTCCTCCCATCCTGCAAGGAGCGTGCAACGCACTCTAAGTGCCGTGCGCCCCTGGCAGGGGAGAGGACTTCGCATGCTTCCCCTGTCTCCAGGCCCTGATTGGCCTGGGGAGTGACGGGGCAGGGCATCTGCAGGCCGGATCAACCTGCTTGGTGGGCCGAATCTGGCCCGCAGAGGCCCTTTTGCCCACCCCTGCCCTAAGACATTTCTACCACTCCAAAAGAAACCTTTAAGAGACACTTGGCTTTTCTGAATTAGCTATAGTCTGAGAAACCTTAAAACCTTTTTTCAGCAACAGTAAAATGCATTGTCTATAAGCAGTTAATTGTGTGTAGACTTCTTTTTCTATATCTTGGCAAAGTTAAGAAATATTAATATTGTAACCTTGTTGTATCCTTTCTACTTCTCATTCAGAGACCATATTATTTTTTCCCTAAAACTGTTTTGTAGGTAAAAGAAGATATAACATTAAGCTGTGGAAAACTTTTACAGACTGTTTTAATTGTTTACCAATTGCAGCTATTGTGGATGAGAAAATATTCTGCTGTCATGGAGGTATGTGGTGCTTCTGTAGTTGTTACTCAAGTGATCACTAATCCCTCTGCACTAGGTGTACTACTTCCATGTTTGTTTATGCATTTTGCATAATTGGAAAATGGCTCCCTGTTGGCTTAATCCTTGTTTCTGAAGTTCTGGGAATACCTGTTCTCTTCAGAGAAGGAGGAGGGAGGACAGATATGGGAGGCTCAGTTCATGCACAAGGTGGATATTGAAGGGTAAGCTGAATAAACCACACTCCAAAGAAGGGAGTAACACAGGCTGTAAATTAATTTTTGGAAATTAAGGCGGGAACTGAGTACAGGGTACTGTGAAGGGCCACACCATGCCACAAAGAGGTGTAAGCGACTTGTCTTTACAGCTTTATGATTTAGCAGAAACAGTGGCCTGTTGTGAAAGTTCACCAATTTAGGTACAAGGATGAGAAAGGACACATGCATTTTACAGAACTACAATAAGTAATTCCCACTGTCACTGCTTAATATTTGTGACCACCTACAAAGTGTGCCTTTAAGATACATACTGAAAGATATTTAAATAGTAGAAAGAATACTATACTTCTCTCATTCAGGCATAATATGAAATAAGATGGCTTACTATAACACAAAGTACTATTCATACCATTTCACACTAGTGTTTAGGCAAGCTATAATGGTTGCAAATTATAGACTGATACAGAGAACTGTGATAATTGGACTGTTTTGTACATTACACATTCAGTTTCTGAAGTGGTATAAACAGTTTTTTTAAAAAGCTAACTTAAGTGCCCTCCAGAAAGGGTAAGATTGACTTTCAGGCATAGGCTAACTTCGTGGTATATCCTGGAGAAGTCTCCAATGACTAAGAATCTATTCTTTGTAGAATCTATAAAAGTCTGAGGCCATCTATTGTACAAATTGCATAGATTATCTATTTGAAAGGAGATGAGTGTAGATAAACTCTTGGGGTACGTCTAGACTACAGGCTTTTGTCGACAGAAGTTTTGTCGACAGATACTGTCGACAAAGCATCTGTCGACAAAGCATCTGTCGACAAAGAGTGTCTAGACTACAGCCAGTTCTGTCCACAAAGCAAGGCGCTTTGTTGACATGAGAGTGTAGATGCAAAGGACAGTGTAGATGCAATAACGCCTTCTGTCGACAGAACTCTGTTGACAAAAGGCGTTATTCCTCATAGAATGAGGTTTACAGCCCTCGACAAAACTGCTGAGTTCTGTCGACGTTATGTCGACAGAACTCAGAGGCATTGTAGACGCAGGTATAGTTTTGTCGACAAAACCCTGTAGTCTAGACACACATTTACAGAACAGGAAAAGCAGACAGCCATGTATCCCAAATGGTACTAAATTACTTGCTTAATTCAGTATTTCAGCGCCTTAAAAAAGAATAAGCTCTGGAACTTCATGCATGACAACCCATTTAGGGAAGTGACCTTTCTCATCCTTATACCTAAATTGGTGAACTTTCACAATAAGCTACTGTTTCTGCTAAATCATAAAGCTGTGAAAACAAGTTGCTTACACCTCTTTGTGGCATGGTGTGACTCTGCAGAGTACCCTTCACTGTTCCCTCCTGAATCTCCAACAATGTATTTACAGCCTGGGTTACTTAAAGTAATATCCCTTTCCTTGGAGTGTGGTTTATTAGTTATACAGTGCTGTAGTGTCTTAGCCCTTCAGACCCAATCTTTCCCTCTTGGAGCTTCCAGTTTATGCTCATAGGTCATTCAGTTCAGTTCCTTCCCCTCAATTAAGGGGCTTCATATACCTCCATGTTGGGCTGTGCTGTGCTTCAGGCAGTCAGGCTTCCCCTGCCAGGCTTCCCCCCCAAAAAACAGCTGTGCTTATCATTTTCAAGTGGTAGTTACCTGTATAACACTTGGTCTTCATTTGCCAGTTTGCATGCCACTCCTTTGCACTCTTTTCCTTAATGGAGTCATGTCATGGAATAGGACTGCCTGGCCCTGGGCCCCCAGACCAGCCTGCTATAGAAAGCTTTTAAAATTGGACAAAAATAAAGAATCGCCATAACTTTTAATAGATACTAATTACCACCAGCAAATCAACATTGTGTGCTTTAAGGCTTTTGGGCCCGTTAATACAGGAGTCAAAATGTTAATGTGCAGAACATCCTTTGAGTAAAACACTAACCGTTTGTACACCTTAAAACTCCTGACAGGCCTATCGCCAGATCTTCAGTCAATGGAACAGATTCGACGAATTATGCGTCCCACTGATGTACCAGATCAAGGTCTTCTTTGTGATTTGTTGTGGTCTGACCCTGACAAAGATGTCTTAGGATGGGGTGAAAATGACAGAGGCGTGTCGTTCACATTTGGTGCTGAAGTGGTTGCAAAGTTTCTCCATAAACATGATTTGGATCTTATATGTAGAGCTCATCAGGTATTTTCATTTTACAAGTACACTTGATAGCCCTGATCCTCCAGGGGGATCCTTGTGCCCCTGCAGAGTCCCATTAACTTCATTGCTAATAGATCACACTGCAGGATGGGGTCCTGTATCCGTTCTTAATTCTTTTGTGATCAGTTTAGTTTAGTACTTCTGTTTAGACTTAAATGACTCTTCCACAGCTCTCTGTGCGAGGTAGTCATAACATCTCACTGAGCTTGTATGTGGGCTAACTTAGATGCACACCATTTAAGAAATCTAGTTATACGACTGTGCAGTCAGAAATTGTTCTATTCCAATAGAGCTATTTTTCTATTAAAGGTGGTTGAAGATGGATATGAGTTCTTTGCAAAAAGGCAGTTGGTAACTCTATTTTCTGCCCCAAATTACTGTGGAGAATTTGACAATGCTGGTGCCATGATGAGTGTGGATGAAACTCTAATGTGCTCTTTTCAGGTACAGTATGTTAAGATTTTGTCGTTTATTGAATTTGCTCTTATAAAAGATTTACCCTTAGAGAAACAGTTCTCACTGCAAATTTTTACAAATGTGAAAGGTGGTGGGAAAGGCTATATTCAGTTCAGTCACTCATTCTCTCACCAAAGGATTTAGGCTGCTGTCCACATTGGCATTAAGTAAAGCACACTTCTATTTACCTTGAAGTAGATTTTCCAATTGAAGTCAGATCTGCTCTTATTGTTGTGATTCTAGTGCTAGCATAACTATCGGGTGGGAAAGGAGCACACTACTCTTTGCATTGAGCATGGGAGAAAGGGGTAAAGAGAAAGGGGTAAAGAGTGAGGTGGGAAAATTTGCAGATGATACCAAAATGCTCAAGATAGTTTGGTAAGATCTTTTTGAAGCCCTTTGCAGTCTGCTGGAAAGCTCATACCACCGTCTACCTGTTTTGTTAGTCTTTAAGATGCTGCTAGACCATTTGTTGTTAAGTTAATCTGAAACCATGATTAGTAAGATCTGGTCTGCTACTAGCATTACTACTGGGTGGGAAGGGAGCACACTACTCTTTGCATTGAGCATGCAGAGTTGCTGGCTGATTTTTTTTTTTTTTTTTTTTTTTTTTTTTTTTTTTCTGTGTACAGATGTGGTCACCTCATCTCAAAAAAGATAGACTGGCATTGGAAAACTTACAGAAAAGGGCAACAAAAATGTTTAAGGATTTGGAATGAGTCCCATATGAAGTGAGATTAAAATGACTTGGACTTTTCATCTTAGAAAAGAAAAGCCTAACGGGGGATATGATAGAGGTCTATAAAGTCATGATTGGTGTGGAAAAAGTGAATAAGAAAAAGTTATTTACTTATTCCCCCACACCAAAGAACTAGGGGTCACCAAATGAAATTAATAGGCAGCAGGTTTAAAACAAACAAAAGGAAGTTTTTCTTCACTCAGCACGCAGTCACCCTGTGGAACTCCTTGCCAGAGGATGTGGTGAAGACTAGAACTTTAACAGGGTTCAAAAAAAGAGCTAGATAGATTCATGAAGGTTAGATCCATCAATGGCTATTAAACAGAGGCTAGGGACACCATTCCTACCCATCCTGGCTGTCTGGAAATGGATGATAGATGAGGGATCACGTGAGGATTACCTGTTGTGATCCCTCCCTCTGGGACATCTGATATTCGCCACTGTTCGCAGACAGGGTACTGGGCTAGATGGACCTTTGGTCTGATCCAGTATGGCTGTTCTTATGTTCATGCAGAGCTGCTAGCTGACTTCACTGATCATGGTCACCAGTATCATGTTTTTTTACAAGTAAATTAGAGGATTGGCTAGTTATTTGCTTGTTAAATCACCATAGTAAATTTCTGAATTGTCTTTTCAGATTTTGAAACCTGCAGAAAAAAAGAAGCCTAATGCTAGCAGACCTGTAACACCACCCAGGGGTATAATCACAAAACAAGCGAAGAAATAGTAATTTTGGTATTGCCTAGTTGGGACTTGTATTATAGTATATAGCTTCCATTTTTAAAACTGTGTACTGTTAAACTTGCTCAAAATAGATAATGGTTGTGGTTTTTCATTTTTGATTTAATGAATAGCATTTGCTGATTGTAACAGCAAATGAAAAACTCTTCTCCCTTCCCAAGAAGAGTTTTTTTTAAAAACTTTCCTTATGTTGGTGTTATAGCTGTTCACTCCACAGTATCTTATCCTGTCATCACAGGTAATTGTACAGATTCAAAAAAGACAATTTGTACAATGAGTAGTGTAAATGCTTGTTTTCTTTAGGAACTAAAGAGGGCACTAGCGTGCTGTGAGACTAGAAATTTGTTACTGTCAGAAATTGCATGCTGTTTATACAAACCATTGTGAACTTTTTTACTTTAAAAAGTTGTTTGAAAGGGATTGCTTTGCTTTTAAATGTCTTGTTATATACACATTAGTTTTATTGCGGTCAGCATATGAAATAACCCTCCAACTTACCAGCATCGCTAGTATGATGTATATTTAATTAAAGCACACTTCCCCTCCCATATGCTTTAAATGAAAATTAAAGCCATTATTTTAAATGTTTGTGTCTCCTTCCTGAAGCCAAAGTTTCTGCTCAGAAAGCTGTATCTACATAACTCATCCAGATGAGTTGGCAGGGCTTTACATTCATGTCTCTCTTGGAGGTGAAAGGAAGTTTTGACTTCAGCTAGCAAGTAGTAATGCTGTGTAGTTTGTGCTATTCAAAGTAAAGATAAACAATGTTTGTACAACTTCAATATATTCTATTGAGTGAGCCTTCTTATTGTTGCATATGTCCTGTTGCAGCCATTTCCAGAAACCTGTAACTTGTGGAGATGGTTCTAGATCTGCCTGAGAATTTGTTCATTTCTGGTCTAAAGACTTGGGTTGGCTTATCAAATTATTTGCTAGGCTTTTTTTGTAGAACAGACACAGGAGTTAATTCTGTTCACCAGTTTATACAAATCTTAGTCTTTTTTTTGTTTTTAAAAACAAAACTGTTAATCTTTTTTGAACAGATAAGTACAATACCATGTAGTGAAAATAATTCATTTATTAAACGAAGAAATTGTTAAATCTTCTCTGTGTCTATTTATCAGCACAGTACACACTAGAATTGTCAGCAGATTTGACTAAATTAGATGAATACATTTATCTGGAAAGCCACAAACTCAAATTGGAACAATGCCTGAGCTTCACACACCTGAGGTATGTTTTTAAAGAGACAGTCTTGATGTAGATCCATCATGCTCACCTGTAAAACTTGAGTGCCTTCTGTGCCTATTGGAGTCTGGGAGGTGGGCGGACATTAGCCTGTCCACATCTAAAGGACCTCCTCCCAGCCTATGGGGAGGGTCCATTGAGCCCAGAGAACCAAGTAATTACTTGGGACAAATAAAGAGAAAACAGGGACAGGTATGAGGATCAAAGGGCTAAAATAAGGGAACCGCACGGGGACACCGAGCAGAGCACCCCAGAC